CATGCATTCATTGCCCATTACAATTAAGAATTATCATCATAATATCTTATCATTTTGGATATTTTGTTATATTAAATCTAAAATGTCTAATATATTCAAATATATAAATCTGTTTCAGATATATTCGGATATCTGAAATATTTTGATTTGGATCGGGTTTGCTTTCGATTCTTTAGATATCAAAAATTTGAATCCATTCAAATATTTAACTAATTTCGGTTCGGATTCAATGTTACTTTTTAATTGAATTCAGTTTAGTTTTTTTGGATTCATATTTTTCCCAGCCATAAACTTCACAAATAACTTTAAGATTTATTTTATTATACACAGAACATCAGTTTAAGAGCATCTTCAACCAACTGCATAGTTTACTAAAAAAATAGAATGAAAAGTATAGTCATAAACAAAAACATTACTCCAAAAAGTGCGCCATCATAATGAAAAAGATTGTGTTGAATAATAATATATTCAACGTTTTTTGGCTTACATACTCAACTCTTGTAATCGAGCACAGCTAGCCTACCCAATTAGTTTATAAAGGTCAGTAATAAATTGACTTATACAACTTTTCAAATGGCTAGTTAAATTTTAGAGCTCTAACTAGTTGGGGTGACTATACTGTGAATACATGTTAGACACATTGAACCGTAAATATAAATAGCAAGAAGAAGAAGATTTATTTAATTCCAACTACTTGTTTAAGAAAATCATTAAAGTGATAATGACAAATATTTTTCTCTTCTTCTATCTCTTACAAATATAGATACTCAATTGTGACTTTGCCTTCTATTTCTGAATAGAAAACAGGTCACTTGAGTTATAAAAATCATAAAGCTACCGATATCAAATTGTAGTTTTCGACTAATTACATCATCTCAAAATTTATTATACGTTGGTTGCCTATAAAAGAAAAAATAAAAGAGCAACCACTATCCAGTATCCAATCCACTTAAGTGGGCGTCTTGTGAACCCACACAAATACGTGGTCCCCACTTAATGACGTGGCTATCCTCTACAAACAACACACCGTAAAACATCTCTCTTCTCTCTCTCTCTCTGTTTCGGCGTTCACATAAGAATCTCTGAAGATTGTATTTATTCACTCTTCGCAGCTATCGATTATTCATTTTTCCCCGATCTTTGTAAAACCATGACGAACACAGATGAGTCGGAGAGTTGCGGCAGCAGAGCCGTCGTGGCTTCGCCGTCGCAGGAAAACCCTAGACACTACCGGATGAAACTCGACGTCTACGGCGAAATCTTACAGCGGCTCCAGGAATCTAACTACGAGGAAGCAACTCTCCCCGATTTCGAGGATCAGCTTTGGCAACATTTCAATCGTCTCCCTGCTCGGTAATCTTGATTCAACTGTTTCATTTAGGGTTTTGTTTATCTCTAATTGGATTATATGATTAAACGGTAGCGTTTTCCCTTTTCTGTTTTGTGTTTTGATTTCAGTTTTTTCGTTCTAGGGTTTTGTATATGTTCATTCGACAAAATCTTGATTTGGATACGTGTCATTGTTTGCAGATATGCTCTCGATGTTAAAGTTGAGAGAGCAGAAGATGTTCTCACGCATCAGAGATTACTGAAGCTAGCGGAAGATCCTGCAACGAGGCCTGTGTTTGATGTTCATAGTGTGCAAGTAATTAAAATTGAGTTCACTCTGATAATGAAAAGCTTTGGAAGATTTTTTTTTGTTGTGTGTTTATTGGTTTCTCTGGATTTCTTTGGTTGCAGGTTGCTCCTAGAAACTCTGTTGAGTCTGACCCTGCGTTGGAGGAAGATGCTCAAAGCTCTAGCCACACTAGCGGCCAAGGGTTTGGATTTTTTAACGAACTCAGATCCATTTCAGCTTCCTATTTTCTTTTTTTTTTCTAACAGTATACTTTCTTGTTGTTTGAAGGGTTCTTGCACCTCCAACTTTTGGCTCTTCTCCAAATTTTGAGGCTATTACTCTTGGAAATAAAATTGTTGAAGATGTTGATAGTGCTGTTAATGCAACTCTGGCTACTCGGTGCGTTTTTTTGTTAATTTTTTTGTTTCCTCTGAAACGTGTGTTGTTCATTATGTTTGTGTACTCATTCCTAACTTATTTTATTACCTATTATGCAGACCAATGCATGAGATCACCTTTTCGACCATCGACAAGCCCAAACTCCTTAGTCAGGTTGGTGGTGCTTCGTTTAACATCAGTAATATCTTGTTGCTTAAGCTCATAAACTTTGCCACAATTTTGATGCTTCAGTACAGACTGTTATGTAAAGGATGGTTACTTCTTCCATTCTTTTGACAATTTGAGTCATTTTCTGTTTCAGCTTACTTCCCTGCTTGGTGAGCTTGGATTGAATATTCAAGAAGCTCATGCTTTCTCCACTGTGGATGGTTTTTCTTTGGATGTCTTTGTTGTCGATGGTTGGTCTCAGGAGGTATGATTTTAGCTTTGAAATGCTACTTGTTACGTAGTGAATGCCTTGAGAGAGATCTTAATTATTTATAACTATTATGTCTTTGTTATGACTAAACTGTTTGATAGACTTGAGAAACTTTGGAACTATAGGAAACAGATGGTTTAAAAGATGCATTAAGCAAGGAGATACTGAAGCTTAAGGTATTTTCCATACCCTAATTTTTGTGACATTTTCTTCTGTTTATGAGATAAACGATGTAACGCCTATGCATCTTTAGAAGATGGCGTACCTTACTATGACGCTGTACCAATATGTTTTGCTTCAAACGTTTGAGAATTGCTCTTTGCTGGTTAACAGGATCAACCTGGTTCTAAACAGAAATCTATTGCTTTCTTTGAGCATGACAAATCTAGCAACGAGCTGATACCCGCCTGCATTGAAATACCCACGGATGGAACTGACGAGTGGGAGATTGACGTGAAACAGCTCAAAATTGAAAAGAAAGTGGCATCTGGTTCATATGGGGATCTGTGAGTTTGTTGTTCTGTAAGCTGGTTTTACAAAGCTGTAAGTTTTTGTTTAGAAGTTACAGTAATATGTTTTTCGATGACTATGCAGGCATAAAGGAACTTATTGCAGTCAGGAAGTGGCTATCAAATTCCTCAAGCCTGAGCGTGTTAACACGGAGATGCTTAGAGAATTTTCTCAAGAAGTTTACATTATGAGGTCCGTTAAGTTAATTTTAATCATACTGTGGCCTGCATAGTAGTTTGAGCTGATACTTCTACAACAGAATCCAATTCGTAGTTTATGTGGAGAAACATGAGTTAGTGACTCCTTTTTGTTACGTTTATACTCAGGAGCTGACTTGAATTTTGACAGTCTTTGTCTTATGTTTTGCAAGTTTTAGTGATTTTTAAAAATTTAGGCTGTATAAAGTAACCAACATGCATGATTCAGTGTTCTCAGTGTTAATTTGTGACCCATATATTTACTGTCTCTAGGAAAGTCCGTCATAAAAACGTTGTCCAGTTTTTGGGTGCATGCACACGATCTCCGACCCTCTGTATTGTAACTGGTAAGATAATAGTAGATTTGAGTTGTAATTCACATAGACATGTCATTGAGTTGACGGGTTTCATCTTTGTGACAGAGTTTATGGCTCGGGGAAGCATTTATGATTTTCTTCACAAACAAAAATGTGCTTTCAAACTTCAAACTTTGCTTAAAGTTGCACTTGATGTTGCAAAAGGGATGTGCTATCTGCATCAAAACAATATCATTCACAGGGACCTTAAGACTGCAAATCTTCTTATGGATGAACATGGAGTAAGATTTTCTGCTCTTTAGTGTAGTCAGCCATGTGTCTTTTCATTTTATCTCTGCGAACTTGTTTTGTTTCAACAAGAAGCGACAGCCTCTTGGGTTCTAAACTTTTGATAATATTGAGCAGCTCGTCAAGGTCGCTGATTTTGGAGTTGCCAGAGTGCAGATTGAATCAGGGGTCATGACAGCTGAAACAGGGACTTATCGATGGATGGCTCCAGAGGTATGAATTCAATTCCTCAAATACATTGATCTGTCTTAATCTATGGATCTCTCTTCTGTTTAATCTCTCACTTGCTTTGACAATATACTCCTGAAACCCAGGTCATTGAACACAAACCTTACAGTCACAAAGCGGACGTGTTCAGTTATGCGATAGTGCTATGGGAACTTTTGACTGGTGATGTAAGAATCTGCTTACAGTTCTTTCTCTGAATCTTGCTTTCATGCTAGTCAAAGATACTGATGTGTATCATGTATATATATATTTTTTATATGAAAACAGATTCCATATGCCTTCTTGACTCCACTACAAGCCGCGGTTGGCGTTGTTCAGAAGGTACTGTAACGTTGCGTACGAGCTTTATTTTTCTCTTCCTCAAGAGTCTGAACTGAAACCCTTTTTTTTTCTGGTTATCAGGGGCTTAGACCGAAAATTCCAAAGAAGACACACCCAAAAGTGAAGGGACTTCTGGAGAGATGCTGGCAGCAAGAGCCGAAGGAAAGGCCAGACTTTGAGGAAATCATAGAAATGCTTCAACAGATAATGATCGAGGTAAACGTCGTACCATGATGGTCGGAGTAAAAAACCACCGCTCCTTAGAAGGACAAGCACAAGCAGTGTCTTGGTTTCTTACAAGCCCTCAAAGATCCCCGTTACTAGTTCTGATCAGTGATAACTCACTCAATTCACTCTCTTACATTTTGATTTGTACAGTTTTTTCTTTTAGTTGGTCGGTGTGGCTAATGGGGGGGGACCTTGTTTTGACCGTTGAGCGTTTTCTCCTTTTATTGCTCTTTGATGCTTCTTTTCTACGTAGAACCTTCCCCACGCTCTTTTACTTTTATGAAAAAAGAAAGTTTGCATATTCAACTGACAACATTTCTCTTAAAAATATTTTTTATGAGCAGACCATTGTTTTGGATGGTACATATTTTCACTTGCACATCCTACTTAATCTTGACCAATACCAAGCTCGTTCATGATGAGGATAGAAACACCATGAACGAATCGGTTTTGCTCTATTCCAAAAATTTCGGGCCATGGGTGATGCTTCCCCTAGAAAACGCCCTGCACATTTAGCTAGCCGGTGGGGTACTCTTCAGAGACATGAGACATCTACTAGCTCGAGAAGAACAGAGGTTGATGGAATTGGTAAAGTATGGCAAGAGATAAAGCGTCCTTCTCAAAGCCAGCTTCATTCCTTGTCTTTGTTCCTCGGATATTCGTATGTGAAGCTAAGCCAGAAGCACTTTGGTTATCATTCTTCTCATACAGTGCTAAAATCGATTCTATTGGCTAAAATCACTAAGACTCAACCAACTTGTATTTTGAGGAATTAAGTAGATAGTTCTGCAAAGCAACATCAAGGGATTCAAGACTCTTGTTTCAACATAAATAGATTTCTTAAAGCTTGCTAACAAGATTAGACCCTTTGTTTCGAGTACTATTGGCAGTTTCATGTAGATAGCTTTATCAGTGTTGCTATAAAAATACGTATTTTGTACATCTATCTGGTGAAATTTACTAGAAAATTTCAGAATTATTTGGATATCAGTCAGATTATCTTTTCGTTTTTTATTTGATTAATTTTATATTGTTACTCAAACTATCTCTTTTTATTGATAAATTGTCTAGGATAACACTATTTTTTTTAAGTAATCAAATATTGCACATAAAGGTCAAAATGACCAAAATATTTCTTTAAAATATAAAAAGACATATACTTAACTAATCCTAGATTTAAATTTATGATTTAGGGCCTGACTGTTTTTCCCGCCATCACCCGCAAATCCAGACTTTGCGGTTGGTAGCGGTTATTGGCGTTTTGCAACAATCACAGAAAACGCTATAAACCGCTTCAAATCGCTCTGAATCTCTAAAATTCAAAAGTTGGTTCCAACTAGCATTTGCGGTTGCGGACAATTGCAGGAAGATAAAAAATATTTTTTTTTCCAAAAAACTATATAAATATAAAAATAAAATAATCAATTAAAATTTTAAATTAAAATAATTGAAATATTTATATTTTAAAATTTCCAAAAATAGATTTTCTTTAATTTTTAAAAAAATTTATTAGTGCAGTTTTCTCAATAAAATTTTATATTTATCATGAAAATATGATTTTAATATTTTTATTATTATATAAAATATAAATATTATTAATTTATTACTTAACCGCCATTGTATTTGATGATAAACCAATCATAAGTATCCTGCAAACGCACCAATTTTTAACCGTTGAACCAGTCATAAATCTCTTACTAACGCTTAAAACCGAAATCTCTCGCATTCACAAACGCCCGCAACCGCAATCGCTGCGTTGTAACCAGTCAGACCCTTAAATTTGTGGGTGGGGTTTTGCCTTAGGTTTAAGACTAAAAAATAAATATATTAATATTTAAAATAATAATTTTTAAGATAGTTTCAAAACAGTTTTCGGATTTCAAAATAAAACTTGGAAATAGAAATCGAAAAGGGTCGAATTGATATCTCTCGGAAAGAAAATAATGGTAAAAGAATTTTGTATCTCTTTAGTAAAAACTCTTTTAATCATTTTCTTTCTTATGTGTTTTTTTTTTGGTAAAAGACCTCATTCTACAATCTTTTGGAAGATTTGCCCATAATTTATTTTAGTTGGGATATATATCTTAATAATATCTTCACCATTATCTTTATAACTAGAAAGAATATTAATAGTTAATAAGAAGAAAATGAAACTAAATTTGTACTTATCAGTAAGGGATAAGAGCAGATATCCTACGACTTTAGTATATATCAATAATAAAATCAAGCTGAGTCTTGGATTTCAAGTAATCTCCTTCGCCTTCATCAAAAGCGAGAGAAACTTGAGAAAAGCTAATGGACCCGATGGAGTCTGTGCAGTACAATGGCTTTGAGACCTCTGAAGATAACTCTGACGACGACCATGGATGGAAGGAAGTCATGGAGTACAATGGCTTTGAGACCTCTGACGCTAACTACCACGAGTACAATGAATGGAAGGACGTCGTGTACCGTAAGCGGAACCCGAAGCAAAAACCGGTAGATCAGGCGGCAAACGGCGAAGTTGTTTCCGACAAGATTGGTCCTGATGGAAACAAGCAAGCGGCCAAGATGGTTGCTGCAGATGTGGATCATGAAGAGCCGAATGGTTCAGGTGCCGCGAGGGGTGAGAACGTGAAGACTGAGGAAACTAAAAAGCCGAAACCTAGTAGGAAGAAGAAGAAGAACAAGAAAAAGAACACAGCAGTGTCTTTGTCCGAAGCTTTGGCGAAGATCGATCCTTCACATCTTGCAGAGTTCCTTGTGAAACAAGCATTGGTAAGTGCATGCGTTCAAAATAGAGTTGATTAATTTTTGAAACATTGGCTTGACCCCTAAATTTTTGAAGTTTTTTTTATGTAGACATAGGTCCCTAGAATATAAAAAAAAATTCTTAAGAAATGTTCAAACTCTCAGATCCTGTCCTCAACGCACAAATCAGAAATCGACCTTTTGTTTTTTTGTTTCTATCTGTAATTAGGAACCTAATTGGAGTCAGATAGTGGAATTTCTCGACTACTTTGAGACAGCACTTTCCCAAGTATCATCTGTGCAGTTACCATGGCTGGAGATGTTCAATAACAATTGCCCTTTGTCCAAGATGATCCATGTAAGCTATCATGTGACATCTAGGTTTTGTCTATGGTGTTTTTCCACTTGAGCTAACAACCCTTGGTTCTTATGTATTAAATAAACAAACAGGTTCCATTATCACATATTCCTGAACCTGTCTACAAAGCATCAGCTGATTGGATAGACCAGTTTCCAGACAAAACAGTCTCTACCTTTGTAAAGTGGGCCTATAAGAATATTCGCACTGATTTGGCAGAAGAACAAGAAGTCATCATAGACTGTGACAAGGATGAGTTCCTTGAAAAGGTAATCCTTTCTTGAACTGAAAGTCTCCCCTATGTTTCTGTGATTGCTTCAGTTATGTTTTGTTTTCTATGATCAGGTGGCGTTACATGTTGCATTAGCAATGGTGTTACGTAGGAGACCCCACTCTTTGATTTTCTTATTGCCGGCTATGTGGACGGATATTTCGTCTAAGTATCGAAAACTGGACGAGGTTCCATTTACAGTTTGGATGATGGCTCAGGTTCGTGTCATACACTTCTTTCATATTCTCTTATGTGGACTTAGAATAGGGCCGGTCTTGTGCATATGCAAATGAAAGAAACACTGGTCTATGATCCCAACAATTTAAGAAATCATTTACACAAACATAAGTTTCCGTTTTTTTTTTAAAACTATTTAATGAAATCTTTATTAAACTGCCAATCGCCCCCAAGACAGAGAGTGTTCGAAATTTGTGTGTGTTCTGCTTTCTTGAAAGTTATTTAACTCTAAAACGTGGACAGGCCTCCCAAGGTGATTTATCTGTAGGTTTGCATGCATGGGCGCATACATTGTTACCACTAGTGGCTGACAAGAAGTGCAACGTTCAGTCCAGAGATTACATTCTGCAACTGGTTGAGAAGTGAGTTTAGATGTTATCTTGTTATCTCCTATGCTATTTATTTATTATATGACATTCATCTGAATAAGTTTATGCACTTTTCTTATCAGCATTTTGTCGAATCCAGAGGCTCGTACCGTGCTCGTGAATGGGACTCTTAGTGAGGGAAAGAGACTGATTCCACCTCATGCATTTGAGGGCTTGCTGCGGCTTACATTCCCTGCTTCATCCGCAAGAGTAAAGGATACAGAGAGGTTTGAGGCAATCTATCCCTTTTTGAAAGAAGTGGCTCTTGCTGGTGCACCAATGCAACAAGTCACTCAACAGATATTCACTTGTACTCTAAAGTTAGCTGGAGAAGGAAACCCTATTTTAGCTAAGGAAGCTACATCAATCGCTATCTGGTTGGTGGCTGAAGATGCTGATTGCTTCAACCTATGGGACAGTATCTATGAGGAAAATATAGAAGCTAGTGTTGCTCTTCTTAAGAAGCTTGTAGATGAATGGAAGGAGTGTTCCCTTAAACTATCATCATCGCCGAGTGATATCATCACTCTCACACGAACTATCAAGAGCTTGAGGGTAAAGAATGAAAAAGCCATCACTGAAGGAAGAGCCAATGCTTCTCTTTACATAGAAGCTGACAAGTCATGCAAAGTGATCTCGGGGAGACTCTCTCGTCGAAGTGGCTGCCTCATAGGTACAGCCATCACTGCTGTGCTTCTAGCTGCTGCAGGAGCTGCTGCTGCGATAACTAAGATTTCGTTTTTATGATCAGAAAAGTTGAGATTTGAGAGACTATAAATAGCTCGCAAGTTTGTACATGTAAGTTCTTTTAGACTTTTTAAAAATGAATTCTTTCTAGACTTGTTTATTTTATGTCCAGATTATTTCTTGTTTAATTTATTTTATCTATTATATGCTTTGAGTTTCGTAGTTATTGATCAACTTGGAACATGGGGATTTATTGGAATAAGGCTCTATAGAAGATGTGACAGTCAGTTTTATTCTTACAACTTTCTCTTAAAACAATCATGTTTTAGTTTTTAAAATCTTATTTAGCCAAAACATTATAAAATGAAATATAATAACTTTAGAAATTAATTTTTCTAGGGTTTTTATTATGTATTTTTGAAAAAAAAAATCTAGAGCAAGAAAATTCAAAGCCACAACTAAAAATCTAAAGTCTAAGAGGCTGAATAGAAATAACTAAAGAAGCTTTGAGCAACCATTTTTTCTTTTTTAAAACAATTTTATGACACAATTTAGTTTTTTTTAAATGAATCTCCTGCCAAAATATTATAAAAAATAATATGTTATTTTGAAACTCTTTTTTTAAAGTTATATTTGAATTTACTTAATCACAACTTTTGTATATGTTGTTTATGTTCATATTTATTTATAAATTAGTAACTTGAAATAGATATTGATTTTTAATTATATAAACTATTATGAATTTGTATAATATATTAAACAAGTTTTAATCCGTAACATAAAATAGATAATGATTTTTAATTATATAAACTATTATGAATTTGTATAATATTTTGAACGAGTTTTTTTCACCTTTCAAACATATATATTAAACCGAGTTATTCTTGGATTCACCCCCTAGGGTCACTCCATAGGGTGAACTTTTAGGATCACTAACCAATATGATGTTGTTATTTCATATTTGATATCTTTTGAAAAATAAAATAAAATCTTGTTAAGTTATATTTTATTTTTAAAATAAAAATACAAAAAAATAGATAAAAAATAATAATATTTAGAAAAAAGGAAAAAAAATTCTTAAAAAATATTTTAACACTAAAACACTAAACCCTAAACCCTTGGGTGAATTATAAGCCCTTTGGAAAAATCTTAAACATTAAATCAAAAAATAACACTAACCAATTATACTGTTTTTATTTATTTTTATCTTATTATTTTTTTAAAAATAATATAATGTAAAAATATTTTGTTTCCATTTTGAATATATATTAAAAGAGTTTTTTTAAATTGTTTTTTTTTTGCAATTATTACTGTTTTTTATTTTATTTTTCTCTTTTTATTTTAAAAACATAATATAATGTTACATTTTTTTTTTTGCTTTATGTAAATATTATTATTTTTATTTTAAAAATATAATATAACTTAACAAAATTTTGTTTCTTATTTTAAAAGATATCAAATATAAAACAACATCATCATATTGGTTGGTGAAACCAAGAATAAATCTATTAAACCCTTGTATCCGTTCAGTGTTGTATTATCCATTGGATCCACACTTGTTCCACTCAATCCATTTAATCCGCTGGATCCACACATCTTTTCAGTTTTTTTTTTCATCCAGAGCCTCAGTTCTTTATGGTTAACATCACTTGGCTGAAAATTTTGGAAAAAGTTAGTATTTGGGCATATATTTGTTCATTAGAGAATTTACTGTGACATCCAGTGATTCAATTCCGTAATATCATCACCAAGTGATACCAGAAGTGTGTGGTCCAAGATTGCTATATATTTGATAGAATATGTCTATAAATATTATCAACTAAACTAGTGTTTACAAAATCTTATATGTGTAAAGTATGTAACCTTCCGGCAATTCCTCTAAAATCAAATGCTCACAAAGATTACAATAGATTACGAGCATATACATCTATTGAGAAATGATGTTGAGAAGCGAGGTCCGTGTTCTAATCAACCTTCGAAACAAACCCTCTATACTTTTCTCAAACCTCCCAATCCATACCTCAAGGTCCTCAAGCTTCGTATGAAGTTCCTCTTGAGAGCAAGAATCTCCGGATATAGCTGAATCTACATCCTCCAACTCGTTTTTGTCTATCTTATCGTAATCATGAAACTTCTTCTTCATTAGGACCAAAGCCAACTTGCTCCTTATATCGTTTCCGTTTTGTCGACCCGACAAGAACTCCAAGAACGACTTCAACGCCGAAACTGTCATGGAAACAACACGTCTCATAGCGTGATTCACGGCAAAGAAATGAACATCACGTTCTTGATCAAGATCATTATCTCTCATTACTAACCCTATATTAATGTTCTTCAAGGATCCAAGAAGCTTCCTCGCTTCTTTCCTCATGTTCTTCCTAAACCCGACATAGCCCGAGAGATCGACATCTTTCCTTCTCCTAACACAAGTTTGAAGACCAAGAACTTTCTCATGAGTCTCAACCATGAGATCTCTAGAGGCGTTGCATATATCCATTAGCCTCAACGACCCATCAAGCATTTCCTCCATAAACTCTCCCTTCATCTTCTTCCTCTCAGCATTAAATGACAACACATTTCGCGTGGAACCCATCTTTAGACACTCCTCCGTACAATCGTAAAGATCCTCTAGCCCCACTAAACCGGAGTTAACCGATTCAGATGACGTTACTGTCTTCGTGTTCGTAGTGATCATAAGATACTTGTCTAGCGATTCCTCGATCGCTGCGGTGCTGGGATGAGATCTTGAAGGTAAGCTTATCGATCTTACATGGTTTTTGATGATCTTCATTGCCATATTTGTTTTTTTTCCCTTGTTGTTGAGCTTTGTTTCTCTATACTGATTTGATTCAACGAGCTCTATTTATATCCTAAGGATTTGTAACGTATGTCACGTCTACCAACAAACCTCAACAACAATATGATTTTTTATTATTTTAACTTTTGTGAGTCTTAGTTGTCATGTTTTTTTTGTATAAATTCGGTTGTCAAATTGTGCGTAATAGTTTGGCCACAAAGCTAATGACTCATCGTCTGTTGTGCTTCCAGTTTTGCCACATAATTAATGTTCAAGTCGATTTTCGAAATTAAAATAATATCAACGGTCTATAGATTGTCTGGGTAGGTGAAGAAATCCAGATCTTCCTCAACCATATTATACCCCGTCCCATCCTCCCTAGGTTGTCTGTTACGTTCTTCTATAGTTTAATATAAACCTGAAATAAAATAGTATAAAGTTTGAGTATGATTAGCTTCTTTATCTCATGTTATGACATGTGGAAGAGAAACGATTTTTTTTGTTGTTAATTACTTGATTGTATCCACATTTGGTTGATTTCGTGATTTTCCAAAGGAAAAAAAAACACTGCAACGTGTAGTAATTTGATTTCTTTTCCTTATTATGTAATGGATGTGGCACATGCTCAACTAATAAAATCATTGTTGATATTCGTAACTAGAGAAATGTATATAAGTATCTGCAAAACTCATATTGTTATCAGCAGTTAATATTTTGTATCATGAAATACTAAGGCAGAATGATTTTCAAATGTAAAATTAGGGAAGAAATATAATAATTTAGTTGGAATAATGTCAAATTTTATTTGTTTTATCCTTTGTCTAATATTTGTGTAGTTCACAGAAGGGGAGCTGCACTTGCACCTAATGATTTTTTTTTTGGGAATAACTAATGATTTATGAATATTGTAAATTTATGCTGCCATTTATACTTTGTTTTTTCGTTCTTAAAGTCCTTTGGTTTGGAATTAATCAAAAGCCTAAAATTCTGAATTATTTTGTTCCCAGACTTTTTCGTTTATATACTTAGTACCGCTCAAAACTTATAAATCATAATTTATCAAGTGACGTTAAATATAAAAACTCATTAATGCTTTTCTCATCAAGTTGCTTTAATTAAAAACCATAGATCATAATCAATATAATCATAAATTGACACGATTTTCCTTTTAGTTATTTTAGAGGTTTCAGATGCTCAAATTTTTCCTAGTTTCTTCATGTTGTCTTAATAAGAATTTTTTTTACATAACTCTTTTTGTTTATCTGGTTGGCATCTATTACTTCATTGTTTTAAAACGATCATAAGATTTTACATTATCATTTTTAAAGGAATTTTACATTATCATTTATGAACGTTAACTGAGTGTTGTTGTTTAAATGCCGCACTATTATTTTCTTAACTTTTTTGTACATCTTATATGAAGTCACCAATTATTGCATGCGTCCATCAACCAAAAAAAACTGCATGGCTCCAATGAAATTTCAATCATGTTACGTACATTGTATAAGGTATAGATCTCCAAAAATATTAATTCAAAATTCTAAGGGTTTCTTGTGGCGCCATGTCAGGTGTGTTCCCTAAAGTGGTTCCAAAACGAAATTTGCTTTAACCAACTGAACAATTGTGAATATAACAGAAGTTTATTTACAAATCAATACTCCCTCAATTGAAAAAACAAATATTCTGAATATTTTTTTCAAAAAATAACATTTATACTTTTTGTACATATCTTTTATTAATTAATAATAGTAAATTTCTAAACTTTGAAAATTGTATTTGTTGAATTCTTATTGTTTTATAATTTGAGAGATAAATATTCAAAGAAAATGTACATCTATGATCAAAATTTAATATATTTTATGAATATGTGTAGAAACACCAAACTTACATATTTTGAAACAGATGAAGTAGTCTAAATTGTTTTATTTATTGCTTTATTTATTTTTGTTCATAGTCTTATGGTAAAATATTATTATTCATAGTTTTGAAAGAACCAAGTTTACTTTCATTTTTCTTTAACTCGATTATATATATTTTATATACGTATATATATCATCAATGATGTGCATTTGCGTATAGTCAATGTGTTACTTTTTTGTGCAAACTCAATACGTTACTTACAGGGCTAAAAACATGCTTACAAAACTATTTTTGTATAGTTTAATATCTACACTAGTATGTTCATTTCAACAAAAGTTACATAAAGTTAATAGTTCTAAGAAATGCTGCTAGAAATTGAAAATACATGGATCAAAAATTACAT